GTCTTTGTTGTTGTAGTGGTGGTGGCGGTGGTGGTTTTGGTCTTTATTGTTGTTGTTGTTGCTGTTTTTGTTGTGGTTGTTGTTGATGATGTTGTCATTATTGTTGTTCTAATTCTTGTTGTTTTTGTTGTGGTCATTGTTGATGATGTTGTAATTATTGTTGTTCTAATTCTTGGTGTTTTTGTTGTGGTCATTGTTGATGATGTTGTAATTATTGTTGTTCTAATTCTTGGTGTTTTTGTTGTGGTCATTGTTGATGATGTTGTAATTATTGTTGTTCTAATTCTTGTTGTTTTTGTTGTGGTCATTGTTGATGATGTTGTCATTATTGTTGTTCTAATTCTTGTTGTTTTTGTTGCTCGTGTTTTCTTGCTCTTTGAAATTTGTCTTTTATTAATTCCTTCAGAACGACTGAGGTGGTTTTTGGTACGCTTATCTTTTGCTTCGTTTTATTTTGAGGTATTTCAGAACATGTTGGGTCGCTTGGTTCTTTACTTTCTAAGCTGGGGTTTTTTTTTGGAAAAGCTGATCTCTATGATAGAATGCCGCTAAGCAATCTGCTGTTGAAGTATTGATATTTACTCTCCTGGATATTTTTGTTGTTGTTAGTTGAGTGATTGGTTTGCAGTGGGGGGGGGGATGCGTCCGCTTAGTTTTGGAATATGGAGGGTTTGTTTGTTCACGTTGTGCTGTTGTTGTTGTTGTTCTTCGTGGTGATGTTGCTGTTGTTGCTGTTGCTGTTGTTGTTGTTGTTGTTGTTGTTGTTGTTGTTGTTGTTGTTTGAAGTGCAAAAGGCGAAAGGGGTGTTACCGAGGGCAGACTCAGGTTTATTTCTCTTTTTCCTCTTACTTTTACAGCTTCGTGTTTGTCTTTGTAGTTTTATTTCTTTGCGTCAGCGCGAAAATCAGAATGTAAGGACTTATTGTGCTTTTCCCCGTTTGCAAACCTTTCTTGAGGTATGGACAAACCGTTTCCTGATTGGCTTTGATCAAGTCACGCGCGTATGTCGCAGTGTGTATCTCGCAGTGTGTGGTAGGCATGTGGTAGCTAATGTGTGGTAGGCAGTGTGTGGTAGGCAATGTGTGGTAGGCAATGTGTGGTAGGCAGTGTGTGATGGACAGTGTGTGATGGGCAGTGTGTGGTAGGCAGTGTGGCAGGCAGTGTGTGGTAGGCAAGCAGTGGCGGGGAACGATGCGTTTGCGAGTTGAGCTTGGATGACCGGTGTAGTAGAGTAGTAGGACAGGGCGGAAATTTTGTTTTTTATAATGTTCCTTTAGTTTTTATGCTATTGATTTCTACGGTCACTTTTTTTAATGCTTGGTAAGCAAGCAGTAATAAGGTTGTTGATAATCCTGATGATGATGATGATGATGATGATGATGATGATGATGATGATGATGATGATGAGGATGATGATCATGAGCTCAAATAAGGTCTACACAGTCACTATCTTCTGTGACGTGGAATACAAAATAGGCCTGCATAAGACATACGAATATGAAATACACAGTTAGCAGTAGTAGTAAAACAATGGCCCACGATAAGAAGCCTTAGCAGCATGGTTCTTTGTCTCAGCACATTGACTATGACGTCAGAACAAGATCCCGGCCTGCGCTGTAACATGGCCGTGATTGTGCCGGTGTGCCTCTCTTTACTCAAATTCAAACTTAAGGTGCGGGTGGTTGGAGGGTGCCAATGGTTGGTCCTACTTCTCTACTTTCTGTTATTTCTGTCTGTCTGACCTTCATCTTTCCCAGCACTAAGTGACGATCGTTGTGTCAATTTGCTTCTCTTCACTCAAAGTCACTCGTCAGAAGCCCCTCTGTCTCTTCGGCCTTAGAAAATGATCTCGGGTCAGTTAGAAATTAATGAGTAATCACCAGCGAAGGCCAAGGAATGGAAACTCTCCCCTCCCCCTCCCTGATCGTTCATTAAGGGTGGAATGAACTAACTGAGGACTCGAATTCTGGTCTTTCGACACAGCTTCGAGACCTGCTGTTTGAGGGCATAACCTTGTTGTTCATATAGATTTCTCAAATCCGGGGGGGGGGGGGGATAATCTGAAACTGAAAAAGTCAAACAGCAACATGCATTCTATGAAATAAGCAAATTTATTGTTCTGTTTTGTGCATGACGTTTGGAAATATCCAACAACATTGTCTTTGGCTGCTGCTAATCGGACACGTGTGTCAGCGGCGTCCTCTTCAGGGTTTTTGTGGATAGTGGAGTGGGAATTTGTGTCCCCGTTATGATAAAGTGTAGCGATAAAATTATCATTGCATAATGAACGAGAAAAATTTGGAAATTTTGCTTGATTGTTTTTTTCTTTTGTATCTTGTTTGCGTTAGGACCCAGGTATGCTTTATCGGCAACAGGGTAACCTAGACTAACGGGTGTTTGTAAAGTAACGGTTTGGCTCTTCGCCCTTGAACGCAGAAAATAAGAGGTTGATGCTAGTGTGGTGGTGATTCAATTGAGAACCTGCGTTTGTCATCTGGGATGCAAAGCTCCTCTGTGTATGTAGGCCCTACTGGCAAAATCAAACAACCTACCTGTAAATGGATCTTTTTGTTTGACGGGAACATAAAACATTTGCAACGAAATAAGATAAATTATAATTATTATAACTAACCTTTAAGTTTAAGATCGTGGCTGCAGGTTGGCTGCCATTGGTACGTCCTGCTGTTTAACGCTCCCTCTGCTCTTTCTGTCTGTCTATCTAACTTTCTTCCCAGCATTAAGTGACCTTTATTGCGACGGTGAGCTTCTCTTTACTCAAACAAAAATAAAGAAAATTGTCCTAGGCTTATCTTAAAACCGGTTCTGTATGAATACACCCTGTGATCGGCGATCGCACAACTTATATAATAAATGTTTTGCACCTCCACCAACACAATTTAGCTCTTCGTATGGGAGGGCTTGAACCTGGAGAAGCGTCATGCAGAGTGGTGTAAAAATAGTTGGAGGACAAGGGATAGTATTAAAAGGCTATCTCGAAAAAGGGGAAAGGTGGAAAGAGTTTGTTCGTGGCCTGTACCCTGATGCAGGGTGAGAAAGGCATTGATAGTGATGATGGGCATGCTGGTTCAACAAAGCCTACCAGAGCCACCCCGGCTTGAGGGGAATCCGCTGCCCCATTATAGAAAAAGCAATACTAAACAAAAGTAACTATCCTTCTCCCGCTGAAATTGAGCTCAAATCCGGTTCTTGCGAGGCTAAGGATATCATTATTACTCGGCAACATCACACAGCACTCATCAGTCATCGGGGTGTTGACCAGTGGAGTCCTTGACACCAGTAATAAAAGTAGCCAGCCCTGTCGTTCGTGGTGTAGTGCTTACGCGCTTTGCTATTCCAGACAGTTCGATTCCAATGAAGGTAGAAAACTGACTTGTATTAAGTATCTCGATCTTTCCGCTTTCTGAACGTATTTCCCTTTCAGCCCGGGTTGGCCCTAACAGGTAAGGTCGGAACGCCGACTCCTACATGACCTAAAGAGTGTCGATGGGGGCGTAATAACACATGCATAATACAATTTAAAAACAGTCACCTTGTGAGGAGATCCTCGAGCCAGTCGAGTCAGATCAACGTACAGAAAGTGAAGTTCTCAGAGGGGCAAAATTCAATGCCTACAGTCTGTTTGTCAGTTCGAAAGGACTCAACTTCGCTGTGCTGGCCATTTCAAAGAATGCCTGATTTCAGAATCCCAAAGGCTATATTATTTTATTCTATTCTGAACTGTCCTCATGGAAGCGTAAAGTTGGCGCACCACAAAATTGCTACAAAAACTCAAACGCATGTCTATGAAGGACTTCAATATAAATCCTTCGACATGGGAGAGCCAAAAGAGAAGCTTGAAAGCTGTGCACACCCACGAGTGCAAGTGGACCTTTTGAATGCTCAAAATGTGGCAACCTTTTCTCTACCAGAATTGGTCTCATTTGCCATAGCAGAAACCACAAGACATGTTAACCTTTAATTCTTCTATTTCGTTTGAGAATTACACTCCTGTGCGGATACATTGGTCATAGAGACAAATACATGTATTGAAAGAGCAGAAAAAAAATCAAAACAACTACTGTAATCATGAAAATCTTTTCGGAAGACGCAAACAAGGAAACGATATTAGAATAATTTGTACTTGGCCTAGAACTGTGCATAACTACCTGCAGGTGAAAGTCATGTAGATCTACATAAAGCAATACGATAGAAAGGCAAAAAAAATATTTCAGCTGAAATATTGCTGTAGAATAACACTAAAGGGGCCATAGGCATTAAGGAGAAAATACATTTCGTTTCTTAAAGAACTGTTTGTCCTCTTGATATAATCAGGACAAAGAAAATGAAATATTTAGTCTCATAAAACGGGGGCAACACTTTTGAAAACGTCAGGACTTATTAAAGAAAAATCTTTGTTTGATAGATCCTAAAGAAGATGGAGACTCGGTGGCTGGCAGGTGTTTTAGTGTTGTTCGCTCCTTCTTCCCTATCAGGCACCTTTCTTCTGTATCTTTCCCCCTTCTTTTTTGTCTTTGTTTTCTCTAATCTTCGGTACGTATGTGACTTACTCTGTTGCAAGTGCCGTAAACCTCTTATTAGAACATAAAGATCGGCATTTAGACGGGTTGTTAGGAAGTATGTACTCTGAAATGAACACATCACACACATGACGAAGATAACCAGAGA